GTTATTCCCCAGAGCCTCGTGCTGAGGTCTATTGTGTTAGGCTGAATTTTAATATATCGAAATTGGTCTATTGAAAATGCTGTTCATAAGAAAATAATTCACATTTTAATTTAAATAAAAATTGGAAGTCTTTGATGACTAGTGAAAGAAAAGTTTAACAATTTACTTCAAAGAGAAAATATAACTCACCATTCAGAAAAACTAGATACACTGAGGGATGGCTTATCTCCTCTCCAGACAGCATACTCAAATTCTGGAATTTCAAACAATCACAATCACTCTTGCAAAATGTGACTATCGCCTCGTGTGGCACGTTTTTGTTCTTTCCAAATTTTGACGTCTTCTGTGATCTTTTACTGAACAGATGCACGGCAACATGGAATTTATTTGTTAAGTGGATGAATAATGTACTTAACGTTAGAATAACTCTGTAGTTTCACTTTCAAATTTAAGTACACTGGAAGCCTGGTTTAAACAATCTGACCTACTTTTTAAGCCACGTAATATACATGCCTCGTCACTGGAGATACTTTTTGTGCTCCATTGGGTGTGTCTATAAACAGGATTTGACTGTTACCGTACTACCAAGTGACAAACCTCAACTCCTAGGTTATAAGCCAGACGAATGATAGGTTCTTCATCCTGGTCCGTGGTGATATGTGTCATCAGTGCAAGGTTTTTCACTAACCCACAAGCCTACACATCAACCGACAAACATAATACCAGAATTGATCAACATTGATGGCAGGCAGAGTGACAAAATGAATAAAGCTTAACTCATCACTAGACAGTTTATAAGTTACATATCACCCAAGCGGGAGGGTCACACTGTGATAAATCTGGCCTGATGTCTATGACAGCAAAAACCCAGCTCGACAACTTCTGAACAAAAAACACCAAGGGCCGATTATCTCTTAGTACGGTCCCTAGCAAGCTTGGTGAGTGTTTAGCCCATAATTATGGGCTGGAAAGACAAGGTAAACTTTAAGTGTACAACTCAGATTGAGAGCTATCTTAGCTCACATTCAGGTCTGACGTTTTCAAAAAACAAGACGAACAAGATAGTTGTAACTTAAAAGGTACTTCTCTCAGAAAAGTAAGTCATAAAAGTCACAGAAAATCTCCAGAAGTGGGCGCGCGGGATCATTCGAACACTGCCCGATCCAATACTTCAAAAAATATTGAACCAGAAATGGAGCAATCTGATTGGTTGATGTTAGCTATTTCCCCTCTGCACTAACTTAGTCTTGTTGATAATAAATCTAATACGTGTACCTATGGCACGAAAAAAAAAAACAATTGCTGCTGTTCCTTTGAGTAGTAATTTAACATTTTCAGGTCTGTGTTTTTGAGGCCTTTGGGAAGTTGAACTGCAGTCGAATGCCGACTTTTCGAACCTCCAAGAAAGCAAACATTGGTTTGGAAAATCAGGTAGTTCGAGAAATCAGACTGAGAGGTAGAATTAAAGTGCTCTGCTGAGGGGAGGAAAACGACTTTAGTTCGAGTTATCGGGAGGTTCGAAAAATCGAGGGTTCAAAAAGACTCGGGATTCCACTGTATTCTGTGTTTTGTATTCAAGACTCACCTCTCCTTCAGGTGTGTCTGACGGACACAACATTCCCCACTGAGATGGCTGCAGTGAGCGCGGACCACTAACTTTACGTGTCTTTTCAAACTGTGAGTAGTGAAAAAATAATTGCATAAAACTCATCTGTATTGAAGTGTTTTGTTGTACGTGAAGGTCATTCTGAGTTTACACTGCCGCTCACCTGACTGCTGATTCTTGTCATCATTCCAAGGGCAGAAATAAATGAAAGACGTGACAGTACCTGCAAAAAAACACGGTTTTACGAAGTCTACCGATTCAATGAAGATCTTGTTCAGGATGAAACTTTTACGAATTGTCACCAAGGTGCACATCTCAATGTCTCTACAAAAAACATAGCTGAAATGCTTTTTTAGCACATGTTCCTTAGATACACACTCATACTTGTCAATAATTTTTTTTCTTTTTTGGGGGGAAGGGGTCAAAGAGCGTGCCCAGATTAAATATATAATATACTCTATCTAAACTTGCCTTATTTTAGTATTTGCTCAAGCAGATCACTTTCCAGCGTGGAGTTAGCAACAAAGCCAATTTAAACTCGTAAATTGCGATAGCAAATTACGAGTTGTACAGCTGTAGTGGCTGGTGAGATTATTGCTCTTTAAGGTGGCCGAACACGGTTTTTGATACCTGTGTTTCATTCACCTTTTTTCTAAAATGTTTGTTCCATTAGTCGCCAAAAATGACAACACGCAACTGAACAACACAAACTTCGTTTTTTTGATAGTTAAGCTGACGTATGTGCCATTGCCCTGGCAACATGAATAAATATAAACCGAGTTTTAAAATCGGTTTTGCTTACTTGCAGAAAATCTAGGAATTAGATTTGCTTTATCATTTGCATGCAGCAAGCTTGTAACGATGCTCACAAGTTAACACTATGTTAATAATAGTTTAACAAAAGGATTTTTAATTATCCCTTATTGAAGAATAACTGGAAATATCTACACGTACAATTTCCTGTGCTAAATTTCAGTTCTTTTCAATACTCCAGTAACTTATTTCCTAAGGTGTTTTCGTGCCAAATTTCGTGAAAATCTAACAAGAAGTTCTCGAGAAATAGGCGAATTTCCGTACTTCCGAGAAAGCTATTCCACATTCAATCGCACTTCAATTACTTACTACGTATGCGCTGCATTTAACTGGGCTATTTCAGCAACAAAGAAAAATCTGAGAATTGCTAAGTTCTTTGCATCGTTACCTTTTCTAACATATATTTCTAATAAAAGACTAAAACCATCAATACACTGTGTCCAATTATGAAGAAAAATAGCACAGTTAGCGCGGGCATTGACCAAATAAAATGGTCGATGTATCGACACCATGATGGTTCTTTTGTAATCCTTGTGCACGCTCTGAATTGCATTAGCAATAGCGCACACGAAAATTGTATTCTGCCACCTTAAAAGTTATGAAAATAGAACTCAGCACACTGAACTGACCTGAGTGACACCTGCACGATGCATGTTAAATCTTTTGATTATCCAGTTGCCCTGAAAGCAAAAAAAAAAAATTACCACTGACTTCATGAGTGAATGCCACGAAAAGAACGTCGTTTGTTACATTTATTCTTGAATCTAATCATCACATGAGAATAACAGTCAGAAACCATGAGTATAAATACTAAATCTCTCTCACAATGAGCTCCGGACAGTTGCTGATTAACAGGATTAAAAGAGTTATACCAAAATCGTTTGCGGCATTCTATTACCGAGGTTATTGCATGAACCAGCCCATGTGTTATTTGATCCTGACGCATGTGCTTCACAATGTCAAACTGAATAAAAGAAATAAAAAAAATATATGTCACTATACCCAGCTTTCTCGTATTTTTAATCCACATACTAATAACCTCTCCTTTTACAGTTGTAAATCTGAGCTGCCTAGACTAGCAAGTGATACCTGCCAGCCAGCCCACTTCCTTGCCCAATGAACCTTCTTAATAAAGTTTATAATTTGAAATTTTTGAATTTGTAATTTGTAAACAAACAGAAAACGAAACCACCTTGCATAACCTATTGATATTTATTTAGAATTTACAAAACTGTGAACCCCCCCAATCCCTGGAGTTGTTTGCATCAATTTTTTGGAAGTAAAAATTACCAGCGGACACAATCGTATGACAAACTCATCCTACATCTGCCCCCTTTGACCCAGTAGTAGTTCTAGGGCTTAAAACTCCACCAGTGGTAGTGTGACTGTCCGACCTAGTGTGACATGCGTGACAGCAGTACATGTATCTCTGTTATTATGGTATGCAAGTTCTGCTATTACATCAGCATACCTGTGCAGCCCTTGGTTTGGGAATTGTTTGGTCTGCGATTTTTTTAAGCTGAAAAAGAATTCATGAAACATGGCTGTAAGTACACTGTACCACTGTCAAGACTGGGACCAAATTTCGTAAAGATGGTTTCATTAAAAAAATTAAAACTTTACGATGTTTTTCGGTTCGGAACAAAAAATGGGATTTTTTCCTAGCGGAGGGCACCGTGATGTAACATTCTGGACAAGACACCAATCATTAATTTTCTCTTAATGTTTACCTCGGCATTAAACCTCTTGAAAAGATCCTCGAAAAGCAGAGATAGAAGCTGGAAATTAAAAGAAATTCCGAATGTAAATCCACAGGAAGACATGTACCACTAAAAACTGCCTCGTTCATCTATTACAAAAGAAATCGTTAAGTACTGAGGCCCTATGCGCCAACTTGGCGCCAGGGGACAGGTGAAGGTGACTGCAGTAGTTCTAGCCAACTGCATGTAGCCACACTCAAAGATTAGTACTGTTTGAAATATCTCACTTTAAGATACACTGTACTTTGTAAAGACTAACCAATTTACTACTTCTGTAACTACTTGGTAATGATCATTACCCCAGGTTTTATCACAAGTGATGAGTAGGTACACAATGGCCGATGTCATTGTTTAGAGCCTGTGGTATGAACAGACCTGGACTAAATCAGGGTACACGACATAGAAAACAAGACAAAGATGACCCTAAACCCATTCTCAAAAATTTCAATTTCCCCAGTCATTCTTCAAGGCAACACTCAGTTGTAAAAATTCGGAACAGAAATTTATCTTGCAACGCAGTTACTTGGTTCCTCGTGGGATGAATGAACGTTTTCACGTCACCAATTCATTCATGCAGATGCTTCCTCCAATAGCGCAACTTCGGGTTCCACTATATAAAAACACATACATTATCACAAGATCTTACGGACCTGTCCTGCTAGCTCCAGTCTCTTGTTACCATAGTAATCACGATCATCCACATGGGCCTGCAAGAAAAATGAAAAACTAAGCTTCACATGCTTTAACTTTAACAGGTAGCCCAGTTTTTAGGGCACTAAACTGGTAAACCAGAGGAACTTGCCACTCCCAAATTCAACTCCATCATGTTTGAAAAAAACTAACTGGTCAGGCTGAACCACAGAATGTCTGTCAGATATGTGTTTCATGTACAAGTAAAGTCAAACTTACATGTACAAGCAGCCTTCTAGGTTAGACACAAACCAACTCGTTTTATTATTGGTCAAGATGTCTGGAATTCTAGGGTTACGAACAACTTGGCAATATTGCTTTGCCTAGCAGACATTGAAACAACAATTCTGCACATACACTCTGCATGAGCACACTGAAATTAACGAAATACATGATGAACAGTATACAAGTACTTAATAAAGAGATTCTATACTAGTTCTTCCTGGGAAGAGACTCTTACCTCATCGCTGCAAGCAAGTATGACTCTTCGAACCATCAGAGCTAGAAATACACACTTGGCCTTGAAATCATACTTAATAACCTGAAAAAATAAATGAGTCATAAAAGAACAAAGTAGGACTTGGAGAATTATTTCCACTCAAGTAAATGTACATGCAGACCACGACTTTGAATATACATAAAATTTCACATTTCAAAAGGTCTTAGAACGTCATCTGTTAAATGATCTTAACTGTGGTTAAATAAGGTCACAGCAAGTTTAAAACTAATCTTACTGTGCAGCAGACAGAACAAACCATCTACTAAATCACGAGGATAATGAAATGGCATCACAAAAAAAAAACATTTTAAACTGATAAAACGTTTTCAGGATATACAAGCATAAGGGAACTGTTATTAAATTATACCGGAACATGAGCAAGCATGACTCCTGCTAACAATTCTCTTGCTTCCTCCACCTTGGTCCTACTCTTGCCCCAAGTGGCACGTTGACGCACTTTAGACCCAACATATTGAAGTGCCTTTTGAGGGAATCAAGATAGAAGGCATTACATGTAGGTGCACAAATTTATATTCCAAAAGAAAAAACTTTCCACTTATTAAGAATAATTGACCGACTGAAGTTAAAAAAAAAAAGCACAAAATATTATTCCCAAAGGAACAAGAATAGTATACATGTATCAGCTAAGTCTCCCACCTAAAGCGGGATTCTCATGCCTACAAGTCAAAAACTCTGATTTTCATGTACTCATGTATTCATGCCAAATATCAACAATTTGAGCTTTTACAGTCTTACATCTGTAACTGGGACACTTTCCAAAAATATGTACATGTAAACGAAACAAGAAAACTGCATGTACATGTAAGTGACAAAATGGCGCTACTTTGAGCAGTCCCTCCATCTTTCGTGGTGAGATTTGTTGCCATTACATCCAATCCTCAAGTCTCCCTCTTAGGTTACTTGCCAAGAGAAATCTAAGGACAAAACTGACAACTGCAACCAAAACAACCACAACTTAAACTGCAAAGTACACTCAACTCTGTAAGTAAACCTGACACAAGCATCCCAATATAATTTCTTTTTCTGTCTTAAACATTCTCTACATTTATTGACATCTCCACTGAGTTTATTTTTTCATAAAACTCTGCAAGTAATTTTTTTCATTTTGTTTGATCGCATACTCTTTTCAAAGAGTGTCTTAGTGTGTGCATCTTGATGGCGACTGTTTCCAAAAACAACTGCCACACTATACCCACTGTATTTCACTTAATTGTTTTATTTTCAGTTACCTGTAATTGTGTGTAGATGTTGAGTTTGTGACACTCCTCAAGTGATGGTGCAAAAGTGGAGATGACCTCTTCCTCGCAGCCAACCATTTGAACTATTTCTTGTTCACATTCTATGCCCATGGCCTTGAAAACCACCACCACAGGTACATCCTGACAGTGACAGGAAAAAAACGCATCAGTTTTGTTTACCCTTGGTGTATTAATTTGCACATTCGAGTGATGACTGGGCAAGCATTCAAACCAGAATTAGAAAAAAGATATTAGAAATTGATCATATTACAGGGCCTCGCAGAATACTGCTTCTCAGTGAAGTAAGCCCCCTGAGTAAAAACTGTTATTATTACCATATTAAAAATCCCAACTGGCAGGAGGAGAACCAGTTTGCTTTTTATAGGCGTGGCTGAGGAGTTGAACTCTGCCTTTTGTTACATGTAGAAGTCAAACCAAGACCTGAACCCCCAAACTCAACAGTCCAGGTTTAGAATCCTAGCCAATTACAGACCATTCTACTGTCTTGCAATAAGTGCCCAGTCATTGTTTATTTGATATTTTTTGGGTAAAGGGTGAAATTTATTCAAAAGAGGATGTCAAATCAAGGGGGCACTTAGTTCCTACTCTGCTTTTTCGAAAGAACAATGTTTTCAGTAGACACCTACAATGCAGATATTATGTATGCAGGCTTTAACAAAAACTACATTCAATAAGTCTGAATGCCTCTCACCTCAGACAGAGCATTATGTTTCAAACAAAACTTGTGTTGTTTAGTCACAATACTCGTTCTGCTTTTTCTTTCTGCTGTTGAACTGCAAATAAATAAAACAGATTACTTACAAATTGGACATTAAAATATGGACAAATCTACAACATGGAATTTTTTACATGTCAAATGTTGCAAAATACAGACCTTGTTACAGAACATCCAATATTTCCTTTCTTGTCAGCTTCCACGATGATGCGATTCTTTGATAGTTGTTCTTGAATTAAAATGACCTTTTCTGTTCCGTTTGCTATGAAGTAACCTCCTGCAAAAATGGTTGGTAAAATTGGTAATTAAATAAAAATCATTTTCAAAGTTATGCTCCAGTCGTATAGATTGTGTCATTGAACTCAAAATCATGCTTGCTTCCTAAAATAATGTGCCACAGTCTCAAGGCTCTCGACCTGATCACTTTCCAAAACAAATTTCAAGAACTTGATACGCTACAGGAGTATACAGTTCTGGGGAATTGAGAGGTGTTATCATACAATAGAAAATGGTATTGCCATAGTGGAGTATATACGGAACCACAATGGCCCTTACCAGAGCTTGAACCTAGACTTCTTGATACTGAGTCCAAACAATACTCTTATCACAAGGCTGCCACAATTTAAGTCTAGAATAACTGTAAGTAGTGGCTTTTGATGTCAAGTGGTACAACTTAGCCATCCTTGGTATTCTCACTGTGCTTGCAATGCCATGATGACATGACAGCTTTCAGAGCACTCTCTACCGCTTGCACTATTATCAGATTGGATGAAACAAATTGAAAGCTTTACTAGTGCAAGGAAATTTTGTTAAAATACACCCTTTGTTCTTGTGACTCACTACTTCCTACCCCTGTGCATATTAAGTATAGTACTTTTTGGATCACTTGTACTAGACTTGTGCTGGCTTGATGTGAATTACAATACAGCAATTCTGTTTTTTTTTTTTTCCCCAACCAACCTGGATCAATAGGACACTCATTCAAGGATGCCAACTCTGCTGGACTTTTCCCTGTCAGTACACAGTTTGAACTCCGAAGCATTATCGGCATTCTAAGCAAAAGAGAACAAAATAAGCAATTTTACATACATGGTACGACAGACATGGTAAATAGTTCGAACCTAAAAGTAGCAGTGGTCTATGTAGTGTGATCGCCTGGGTGAGGGCTGTTCTAAAAGGAACTATTGATGGCGACTGGTGATGGGAAGTCTAAGTGACTAAAATAAGACACTTAAGGGACTTTAAAAGCTACATGTAGGGTTGGGTGTTAGCAACTAGAGGTAACCCTAAAATTCTAGTAGTACGCCCTGGCTACTTTGATGGACTTATTTTCAGAGGGGCTCATTTTAGAAGGGAATTATTAACAGAAGGAATTTTGCATTTCAAAAAGGTTAACTAAAGGTCTATATTTGGAAGAGATTAAATATCTGAAAACTTTTAGGTCTACATGTGTATACATGAAAGAATTCTGTGAGGTAAATTCTTCTACTTTAATGATGTGAAACACAAAGCATCAGTTGGACAAGTATCAGGTCATTGAAATATTGTAATTGTACATGCAAGCTGTACATACCTTCCTATTGGCAAGTTATGCCTCACCACTCGCTGAAAAATAAAAATGAAACCAGTTACTTCAATATAACAACTTGAATGACTGAGAATTTGTTACGACTCATAANAATGATGTGAAACGCAAAGTATCAGTTGGACATGTATCAGGTCATTGAAATATTGTAATTGTACATGCAAGCTGTACATACCTTCCTATTGGCAAGTTATGCCTCACCACTCGCTGAAAATAAAAAATGAAACCAGTTACTTCAATATAACAACTTGAATGACTGAGAATTTGTTATGACTCATAAGAATAATCTGTTGACCAAACAATTGACCTGAGTCTTTAGAATTATTCGCAAATGTCCTTCTCTTCTTTGGCAGGTTAGTTGTGAGAGAATTCTGGACTTTTATACAGTTACTTGACGGACTTTGCTCTCAAAGTTGGTGTCATGGACATTTGAATTTCTTTCTACTTTAAAATAAAGTGTTAAGCTCTAAAATGATTGACCTCTACATGTATGTATAATAAAACAAAGGAGAAAGCAACTATAAATGTAAGTAAAAATAACAAATAATTATCCGTTTAAAAATACTGGCCATGCAACTTGACTGGCCAGGGCTGTAGCCAGGAAACAAATTTGATTGAGGCAATGTCCATGGAAAAATTACGACTGAGGCAATGTCCAGGGTAAAATTCTTTTCCAAAGGTATTTAGGGAGTTTATGATGACTATAAACAACAAAAACAACAACAACAACAACAACAACAACAACAACAATTGACTGAGGCAAGTGCCTCGATTTGCCTGTTACCGGGTACAGCCCTGCTTGCTAGCAAGTGCAACACACCAACAAAATAAACATGCGTTGCAGCAATAATATTATTCTTATATATGGTAACTGATGATTTACAGAGATAACAATCTGCTAACCTGGCTTCCTCTGGTGTACTCAATATCTACTGTGATAGGGGCAGAGTATGTCATATCTCTCAAGCGGCACTGAAATACAAATATAACAAGCAAACAAGGTAAATTCGTCCTGGCTGTAGTGTGGGCATTTTAGCTGGACAAGTACTGAACAATTTTGTTTGTGTATCTTGAAGTCACAAAACATACAGGGTCAGTATTACAGTCACTTTGTCAGTTTCAAAACAGAGAAAGGCAAAGCAAATCTACAAATGTGACTCTCTTTAATCACCAAAGCTGTGACCAAGAAAAACCACATACTATGTAAACTGCACCTAGCATAATTTTGCAAAGATTTCTGTGACAACATCCCATTGAAACCCCTCAGTTACATGGACACATGTTACAGCAACATTCCACGAGAGGAAATTCGGACTGGAACAGAACTTCAGTCTCAACCCTATTTCCAAATGGTGGTGCTTACTCAAAATATACATGTACCTGCATTACTTGTACATGTTCTAGGAATTGTGTGAGTATTAGAAAAAAATCCTACATGGCTATGGAATCAACAGGCCATCATATAAAACTTAATATTACATAGATTTAGCCAAGCCTAAAAGTGGAGCTCATGATTGCAATAATTAACCATAGAGGAAAAAGAGGATTTGTTTTTCTTGGATCAGAAACTCAAAAAATGATCAATTGTGAGGATGTAATCATTCAGTGTCTGGTTGCACTATTTTTTCAGTTAAATTTTAACAAACTATACCGAATAAGCGTAACCAAAATTGTAGAAATTACCTAGACAACCAAGCCTTGAATTACTACTGGACTGATACATGTAATACGATCTTCATTTTACGTATTTGCCCACTCAACCATCTCAGTCATGTACGTTGTCCTTCTGAACAAAATTCCACAGTTTTCTACAGTGTAGTTTGCAAAAAGTCTGCGTTGCAAAAACAAGAAAACGTTTTTTACACAAATAAACCACACGAAACACCTTAAACTTGCCTCATGAGGTGAGATGGGTTTTGTGATATTGAATGACTCTTCCACATCAGGACTGCCAACATAGATGTTCAGGTATTTTAGATACCACACTGGATCAGCATCTGTAGTAATTTTTTCGTTTGCTTTAACAATCTTTTTTATCTAAAAAAAATTCAACTCAAGAAATTATGGAATAAAAATTTCTATCAATACATGTCTTAACAAAACAAAGGTCCTCAAATGGAGAGACAGCATGTACATGTAGTTTCACTGACTAGAAACTGTTGACGACACCAAGGTGTTTATGATCTTACCTCACCTCTCTTAGGTGGGATACTAGTCCATTGCCCGTGTATGATATTTCCAGACTGCAGACTGCATACTGCAGACTACATTTGGGCCAAAGTAGCATTCTGGTTAGCCTGAATATCACCCAGGTTTGCCTGTTTACGGTTAGCTCTCAGTAATGGAAATGAGAATACTTGAGAATACAATGAGTTAATAAGGCTGCATTCTACGGTCTGCAGTCTGGACGGAGAATTTAGACACTGAGAGTACATGTCAAGTGTCTTGTACAAGGAATTCAAACTGGGGCATAATCCTGGAATCCTCAATCCCGGGTCTAGTGTCTTAACCTTAACAAACAAATCCAGTACTTACATCCACATTTATGAAGTAGTTAAATGAGTCTATATGCTGCTTGACAAGTCCCTTAACCTGCAAAATACATCACCATGGATTAACAATCTCTTAAAGAATACAAGGAAAGCTCATCAACAGCACCATTCAGTGATCAGACTTGGATAAGTCTTCAATATACTTGTAAATGTACAGTCATGTTAGAACTACTTTTGTTTAGATAGTAAAAGCCCATAAGGGAACCTCCTAGTTAACTACATGCAAACAGTCAAACAATCATTGCCTGGTGTGATATTTGGGCTGCATAAGCAAGCAATACATACATGTACATGTATATAGCTGTTTTTGAACTTGCAGTTGATTAAAGTAAACTCCATAGCGAGTTTGTGAAGCTGACTCTTCCAGCAGAGCAAACCCTAATGCTCAAAATGCCAGCTTCACAAACTCTGCACTGCAGTTAATTTACCCTCATTAACTTCAAGTTGATAAATTAAAAGAGCTCTGTGTTAAATTGTCTAAACTTGGATTACAATGACTGTTACAGTACATACGTACCTTTAAAAAAGCTGGTAATAGTTTCCATTTGTCCTAAACATCAAAAAAGAGTTAAAACCGTGAAAAATTGACTTTTACAAAATCAACAAAAAAATCCCTTCATTCATACACACAAAATGGTTACACTAACCAAAAAACAGAAACATGATTTAAATGACGATGATATATTTCTTGATACAGTAGGTATCAGACAGAAATTACAGCCTTATTTGCAGTTCACAATTTCTGTAGGATATTCATTTGACATTGAAGGGAAAGAGGAGAAAATTTCCAAAGTAGAAAGGGTTGCTCTCACCAAACAGATCTCCTCAAGACCTGTGTGGTGTCCAAATTTCATACGAACTGGACAAACATTGAGCATAAAATGGCATCTTGTTTACAAAAATGTTATAAACATGTTTTCTTTTCATTTCTTCTACTTCCCATATATGTCCTTAAAAATATACCAATTAATTAAAGAAGACAATCATACTGCAACAGCTTTGATTGGCTTCGACACATCTTCCAAGTTGTCAGTAATTTTCCCCAGTGTTTCAAATTCCATTGCTACCATTCCTCTACTACTGCACTGTCATTTCATCATCAGAACCAGCCGGCCTGTAAAGAAAGAAAGAGAGATTACGCATAGCATGTCAGTACCCTTCTGTATCCCCTTCACTCCATACACAGTGCTT